GAGAGAGAGAGAGAGACAGAGACAGAGACAGAGACAGAGACAGACAGACAGAGGGACAGGGAGATAGAGACAGAGACAAACACATATACACAGAAAGAGACAGGTTCTCACTGTGTAACACTGGCTGGCCTGGAATTCATTATGTAGACCAGGATGGCCTCCAACTCAGAGAGATCCACCTACCTCTACCTCCCCCGTGCTGGGATTAAAGGTGTGCACCACCATACCTGGCTTACTGAAGTATTTTGAGACCAAATTAATGCAAAAAAAATCTGTGAGAATAAGATATTGAAATCTTAAAGACAGGATCACACGAAATGGAGATTAAAATGAGGCAGGTAAGGTGAACTGTGCAATGCAGGTTAGATCCTGTCTTTATTTGGTGCCTCTAACCTTCTGCACCTCACCCCCGCCCCCCAACACACACACATCTAGGGTCCTTTCTATTTTGGAAGTGCTCACTTGGGAAGAGGCGAAATCCAGTTTCTGCAAGCCTGCCAAGTAGCGGTTTCTCATCATGTCCACCTCCTGCCTTTTGCTATTCAGGAGCGTCTTGAAGGTTAGGATCAATTCCAGATAGGAGGTGGGGGTCACATAGTTATGTCTGAGAAGTGTGTTGTAGTAATCGAGTGACAGCTTCTTCACACTCTCCTGAAAGTATTTGCACATGGAGACAACCCTGCCAAGGGCATCAGGCAGTTAGTCAGGATCCAGCTTCCTACAGAGAGATCTAGCACAGCTTTCCTAACAGACATCAGAAGGCACATACCCTGACTGTGTGCCACCAGAATCCAACAGGTGAGCAGAGTGGAGAAGAGTGGGAAAGGTGAATACTCTTATTAGGATGACCTCTGACCCCTTTATGAAGCGTCAGGGCTTACAAAAGACTTTCTGATTTCTGGCAGTCTGGAGAAGCTTCCCGACTACAGAATACTTTTCATCACATTTTATTCGTTTAGTGTCTGTGTGTGCACGCACATATTGTGCACGTACCAGTGTGCCTGTGGAGGTCAGAGGACAACTTGCTGAAGCCAATTCTCTCTTTCCACCATGTGAGTTCTGGGGATTGAACTCAGGTTGTCAGGCTTAGCAGCAAGTGCCTTTATCTACTGAACCATCTTGCTGGCCCTTGCTTTGTTTTGTTTTCTTCTTTTTTTGGACAGGGTCCCCCCTGTGTAGCCCTGGCTGGCCTGGAATCTGTTATGCAGAAGGGCTTGGCCTTGAACTTGTGGTGATTCTCCTGCCTCTATCTCCTGAGTGCTGGGATCACAGGCTTGCACCACCACACTCAGCTAGCAAAATATTTTAAAATTCACAGAATAAGATAGGCAGGAGTAGAAAGGAAATCAATTACATAAAAATACCCTTTTTCAAACATCCTTCTTTTTTAGACAGTGTCTCACTATGTAGCCCTAGAATTTGTTATGTAGGCCTGGAAGGTGGGCCTCTAATTCATAGAAATACACGTGCCTCTGCCTCCCATGCCTGACTCAAAATATTTTTTAATATAGTCATATTGTGTTTCTCTATTGATACATTAAACCAAGAGTCAGAAACCTTCCCTGGAAAGAGTCAGATAGTAACTTTAATGTTGGGGTCATACAGCATATGCCCAACTTCTAAACTCTGCCACTGTAGTCCAAAATCAGCTTAGAAAATATGTAAACAGAAAACATGGTTGTGTTCTAACAAACTTTATTGACAAAAACAGGCTGTGAATTGAACTTAGTTCGTAGGTTGCCAGCTACTGTATTAAATAACAGCATTGGGCATCAAGTCTAAAAACCACCATAATTTTGAAGAAAGTGATATATAGAGTTATCTGCAATGACTAAGTTATGAAAAAGAACTGTGATTCTTACTGGTACAAAGTCACAGGACCTGCCAATCTAAGTGGGTTTGATACTTATATTCATCAAAGAAAGAAAAACAAAATTCTGGATAGATGCCAGGAGAGCATCAATTTTTTTCATTGTTCAAAGTTGTCCTAGAGATGCCCTCTAGGCCATGGATAAAAACATGGCTTCTATCTCTGTTCATTTTTACGTACCCGCTGGCTTCTACCCACAAGCCCTGGATCCATATTAAGAGTTTTCTAGAGGATGAAGTTTAAAATCCTCAAACAGAACTTAAGGCTGTTGGTGCTCTGACCCATGCCCACTTCGACTTCCATTTGCTTGCTTTATAAACAAATTGAACCTTCTCTGTGTCAGGCACCAAGGCTAGATGTAGAGGCAGGCAAGGTTTCCTCCCTTTATGGAGTACCCGTAGCGGTGATATTCTCAGTTTCCATTACTCTAGCCATAATTAAGAGCTTTGGGGGAACATATCTGCACTTTACACATATGAGATTTTTTGCCCTTACAGGAGCCAGTTTTCTTTCTCTCGGCAGCAGTGTCATGTGCACTGAGAACGTGTGCTCTAAGACTATTGGGATGTCATAATCATTGTATTCAGGTCTTCACATCTGTGACAAGAGGGCATCTATCTCTAGGACAACTCTGAACAATGAAATTTTATTCTTTTACAGCAAAAGTGCTCTATTAAATATCTAACAAAATGTGATCTGATTAAAAATGTGAGACATTTTCTACATGTAAACTGAGAAAACTTTAATACAACAACATAAACAAGCCAGAACCTAGAGCTTCAGTTTGGGGTATGTGGGGTACTGGAACAAAGCCAACACTCACTCTGCCCGAATGTTGTCATCAAGTTCCACATCCTCCAGAAATTTGTTGGCTACTAATTCTAGGGCATCTGTGGGCCAGGACTGGAACCAGTCAATCGTACAACAATTGATTAGCGAAGGGAACATCCGCAGCCGGTTTCTGAAGGCATCCCCGATTGGACTCATGGCTGATGAAAAATAGGCTTCGTTAGTTCCTTTCTACCCATGCAGGGAGATGTAAGGGGCAGGTAGGGATTTCCAAGAATTCTGGAAAAGTTTGGTAAGGGGGCAAATAATGCTTCTTGTTGCTACTGCCTTAGGGATGTAGTTGTGAATAACCATGAGGAGAGCCTGAGAAACTCAGAGGAATCATGGGATGTTTTCATGTAACTTTGTGATGGGTTCTCAGTGTACCACAACAGTCTCCTAACTATCTCATAACGCTTACATACAACTGTACCTTGTAGATCCCTTGGGTCCCTTAATTAGGCTGGAGTCCTTTGACCCACTTGCTCTGGGAAGTCATCTGTAGTTATCTATAGAAGTTGCCTGTGGCTTGTTTCTGACCCTACCTCTGGCCAACTGCAAATTCTTGGTTCTGCACCTCAAATTCCGCTCTATTTGTTTAGATTTGCTGTGGTAAGAGAAAGCATGATGCACAGGTGAAAGTGCAGGGAGGTCAGTGTGGATGAACAGTGAGAGGAGGAACTTGGCTTATGTTGAGTGTAGAGGACACAGGGGATAGCCTGGTAGGTGGTCTTGTAAGACACGGGCTAGAAATTTTGTTCCTGTGGTCCTTATCCTAATGGAAAGCAATTTAATGATTTTATTTAATATGTTTGTGTATATGATCATATTTGTAATACATGAAAAAAACTCTGGATTGGTGGATCCGAAAAGTGTGGAGTAAACAAGAGCAGAGACTGAGCAGTTGGGGTGGTGCAGAGCTGAGGTCTGAGTGAGACAGCAGTGGCTTAGCGAGCACGGAGGCAGTGGGAGGGAGATTGGGGGTAAGTCAGAGAGAACTGTTAAGCACATGTCCTAGGTTTATGGACAGATTGAGGCTATCAGTCACAGAAAACACCATGTGTTCTGTGCTCTTTTTCAATTTGGAGAAGTAGAGAGATTCTAGTTGTTGAAGAGAAGAGTGAGAGAAGATGTCAGAGAAAGTCCAGAGTGAGCCTTGGTGGATGCTTTGATTGGAGCAATGTTGGGACCTCTGGAGGAGGCTGGGCTTAGGATACTGAGAAGACCCTAAAAAGTCCAGAGGGAAAGGGCAGAGTTTGCTTCTTCTCACCAAGCACAACGTGAAGGTTCTTTCTCACTCTCTCAATAAAGAAGTTGTACATGGAAAGCGGGGTGACTTCGATCTTCTCGCCTTCCGTCCTGGCTGCTGTTTGCATCTTTTCCACGAGCTCAGCCTTCTCATCAGCTGGGAAGATATTGGGCACATCGCCCATGTTCAGCAGCATGTTGATGTCTTCCACAAATGACTCGTCCTTAATCTGGTTATCAGAGAAGAGGAACACAGTGCTCTTGGTGGCTACGCCAGCCTGCAGCATTATCTTCTTCAGGTCCTCCCTCCAGTCATTGCCTGTATACTTCTTGGTGATCTCAATCTGGTATAGCTCATATGAGTTGATGAATGTGGACAGTTTGGTGGTACTCTGCCGCCCACTGCCCCCAATGCCCACCAGGAGCAAGTGCCCTTTGTTCTGCTTCAGGACTCTGCAGATCCTGGAGATGTGCTCAATGGCGAACTTGAACATGACCAAAGACATGGGGGCCTTGCTGATGTTGTTGTACTCTTCCAGGTAGTACTCCATGACCGCTGTGAGGTGCTTCAGGTCCGTGATCTCATCATAGATTTTTTGGTCACTTTCTGGCTTCAAGAAATCCCCAAAGAAGAGGCTACGGATGTTGTCATCAGCTATCTTCCCAGTGGGTGATAAGTGGATGAGCACCTGTGGGGAAGGAAAGAGAGTGTCAGTGGGGAGGGAGGAGGTGGGAAATGTGCCTGTTTCTCCTGAGCACACTCTCCAAGTCATGGCTCACGAGTTAAGAGCACTTGCTCCTCTTGCAGAGGGCCCAGGTTTTGTTCCCAGCACCCACATCAAGTAGCTCACAAACTGCTTATAACTCCAGTTTCAGGGGATCCAACACCTCTTCTGGCCTCCTTGACACCTGCATGTATGTGATACACATACAGACAAGCAGATGCACATACATACATACAAAATAATAAAAATAAATATACCTTAAAAAATTAAAGTGTGAGCTGGCTGTGAAGGCACAAATCTGTAATCTCATCGCAAGAGAGGCAGAATCAGGAGGATCACAAGTGCTAGGCCTGCCTGAGCTACTAGAACGAGCCTGGGTTTTTTTTTTTGTTGTTGCTTTTTTTTTTTTAGACTATTTTTTGATTTACTTATTTTTATTTTGTGTGTGAGTATTTCACCTGCATGTTTGTAAGTACACCCATGTATGCAATACCCATAGAGGCCAGAAAAGAATCTCAGAGTCCCTGGAACTGGAATTAGAACTGTAATGTCTAGTAACAACTGGACGATTGTTAGCTACCATGTGGGTGCTGGAACCAAACCCAGGTCCTCTGTAAGAGCAGCCAGTGCCCTTAACCTCTGAGCTATCTCTCCAGTTCCACAAGAGCCTGTTTTTAAAAAGTGGGGCTGGAGACACGGCTCAGCGGTTGAGAGCACTGACTGCTCATGCAGAGGACCTGGGTTTGATTTCCAGGACCCACATGGCAGTTGACAAGTGTCTGTAACTCCAGTTCCAGGGAATTTGATGCCTTTTTCTGACCCCTGCGGGCACTGCATGACACAAGTGCACTTACACACATGTAGGCAATACCCTCATATGTATAAAATAAAAATAGTAAGTAAAATATTGTGAAAAGACCAAAACTCAAACAAACAACACCCCCCTCATCATTAACAGTAATATGAAAAGGAGGGGAGGATGAGGAAGAGTCAGTCTATTTGTTTAGGAGCTAAGCATTGGTGGTAAGGTCTCAGAGAAGGCAGTGGAAGACTAACATTATTTTCATATGGTTACTCCTTTACCAAACAGCAGTGTGGGCTCTGCTCCTGGTCTCTGCTCTGCTTAGGGTAGGAACACTTTAGATGTTTCTGCTCCCTGAGATGGACACCTGGAAATGTTTTTGCCCTTGTCTTCCAGATACAATATAACTCTCCTATAAATTCTCCCTGAAGAAATAATATTTTTTTGGCAATGGAGGTAAAATAAGAAGATGAAGATCTTTAGGTTTAAAATCACTTTCCTGGGGCTAGAGAAATTGTTCAGCAGTTAAGAGTGCTAGCTGCTCTTGGAGAGGACCCGGGTTTGATTCCTAGCACCCACATGGTGATTAACAACCATCCAGTTCCAGGGGATCTGATGTCTTCTTCTGATCTCTGCCGGCATTGCATGACACAGCTGCACTTACATGCAGGAAATATACTCATACAGATAAAATAAAAATAATAAAATATTTTTTTAAAAATCACTTTCCTTATATCAAGATAGAAAAAAGATGCCTGGGAGGCAGAGGCAGGTGGATCTCTGTGAGATCAAGGCCAGCTTGGTCTACATGGCAAGTTCTAGGCCAGCTAGACAGGGAGACCCTGTCTAAAAAATTAATAAAATAAAATATAGGATAAAAGAAAATGTCCATAACTGTATAGACAATCTGTACCTGAACTTTACCAGGGCCTTGGTTAAACTATGAAAAACTTATGCTTTTTTCTCTCAACTTTCAAATGAATTGGCTTTAAAATGCATTTTAAATTAAATTAATTTTGCTGGGCATGGTAGCATATGTCTTTAATCCCAGCACTTGGGAGGCAGAGGCAGATGGATCTCTGTGAGTTTTGGGCTAGCCTAATCTACATAATAAGTTCCAGGCCACCAACCGGGTCTACATAGTGAGACCCTGCTTCAAAAATTAAATTAATTTAATTTTTAAATATTTAAAAATTTTTTATTATGTGTATTTGTGGGTCTATGTGTAGGTATAGGCCTCCAAAGGCCAGAAGAGGGCTTCTGATCCCCTGGAACTGAAGTTACAGGAGGTTGTGAGCCACCTGACATGGGTGCTGGGAACTTGAACTTGAGTCCTCTATAAGAGCAGTGCATGCTATTAACTGCTGAACAATTTCTCCAGCCTGTTAAATTAATTTTAAATAAATAACATCATTTATTAGCTATTTGGATGGATCCAAACTTATATGTTACTACAGAAGTGAAACAAAATTGTACCAAGTAAGATACCAACAACTCAAATGACTGACATATACCATTTCCTATGATTCAGGGAGCAGAGTGCTAAGTCTCAACTGAGAATGGAATCTAGAATCTGAAATTAACATGGGACCATTTCTGAGATCATTTGATCTTAGAATAAGGCTTACCTTCTCCACGGTCTGTTTGAAGCAATTGGAGGTAGTTTCCTTTACCATGTTGAAGAAAATCTGTCTGTCTTCATTGTCAATCAGACGGTCATAAAAGACCCGATAAACCTCATGAATCCAAAGCCGGATAAATTTTTCCAAATCCTAAAAACCCAGAATTTGAATATATGAAAGATGGTGCTTGTGGTGACGGTGCTCAAAAAGTCATCTAGATCCTGATGCTGAGGCAAAGTGTAAATAGGTTAATGCCTATAAAGCACTATGCCAGGCCTACTGCCAAGCATAGACTAAGTGCTTGGTAAAAGCCTAGCTATTACTAACTATCATACATCCAGGGATACTGCTGAAAGATCCAAATGACAGAAACCATAGTGGCTGACCTGCAGGTGGGTGTGAGGGCAGAGCAGTACCCCCTGAATCACTCGTGAGAAGTCCCTCAGGTTAAAGACGTAATGTGATTTGGAGGGAGTTGGCAAGAAGTTCTCGACTGCAGCTCTATAAATTGTCTTAGTAGCCTGCACCAACATCTTCCCATACCTTGGAAGGAAGAGGGAGGCAGACGAGTCACACAGCCAAGCAGAAGTGAGGACCCCCAGGTCAATACCCAGGAAGCAACAGGACTCTCTTACCTTAAGAACATGACATCAAACCCTTTCCCAAAGTGCCAGTCAGCGATAGAACTGAAAATCTTGGTTAAAATCTCATCTTCAAAGGCATTGATAGAAACAATGTTCAGATGGCGAGTGAACCTTCCTGGAAACACATAAATACTTGAGTCTGCACACACACTTCCCAGACCTAGTGACCCTGGGATATAGGAGAGTCGGTCGGTTGCCTTCTGCCCTTGTGGTCTAGAGCCCTGCTGTCTGACATGTCAGCCTCTAGCTACATGTGACAATTGATACTTAAACTAAGTCATATTAAATATACCACCAAGAACACACTTCCTCAGTTCCACTAGTCACATTATCCATGTTCAACAGTCATGAGTGGCTAGTGGCTCTTCTGCTCAGTGCATGTACAGACTATGTCCATGGTCTGTACAAGTATTTCTAACTGTGCCTCCTCTGTTCACATGACTTTTTATATTTAAGATTTTATTTTATTTCTTAATTATGTGTATATGTCTATGTCTATGTGTAGGTATGTGCACATGAGTTCAGGTGCCCACAGAGTCCAGAAGACAGTGTAGGATCCCCTGTAGTTATAGGTGGTTGTGAGCTACCCAATGTAAGTGCTAAGAACCAAACTTGGCTCCTCTATGAGAGCAATGCATGCTCTTAACCACTGATCCACTTCTCCAATCCCACAATATTTTTAAAAAGTATTTTATTGATTATTTTTGTTTACTGAGTATGAGGATACTGCCTGCATGTGTGTAAGTGCATCCATGTTGTACAATGCCTGTGGAGGTCAGAAGAGGGCGTCAGATCAGTTGTTAGCTGCCATGGGGGTGCTGGGAACCAAACTCAGGTCCTCTGTAAGGACACCCAGTGCTCTTAACTGTTGAGCCATCTCTCCAGCCTCCCCCACCACAAGAATGTTTTTAAAAGCTAAGGGAAATACATGGTCATTGTAAAATAGTCAAGTAATTTGTAGAAAGCATCTCTTTCACTGACTTCTGTCCCCATTCCCAAGTTAACGACATTCAGCAATCCACCCTTCTCAGGTCTATTGAGTTCCATTGCTTCCTTCTGCTTCCTTGTGCACATGTGCAAACATCTTCATGTCCTATAGCTTTTGGGAATTGTTTCTACCTGACCAGGGTTCAGTTCACAGCACTAACATGGCAGCTAACAACCATCCCTAACTTCAGGGGATCGATGCCTTGACAGTCATTGCACACACATGGTACACTTATATACATGCAGACAAAACACACATACACATAAAAAATAAATCAAAAAATTTTTAAAAATTATGTATGTAGATATACATACAAACATGCACATATATAAATCTTGCTTGTTAAAAAGTAATGGACTGACTTCATATGTATGTGTCTGTGTTTCATATGTGTGTGTTCATGTGTGGGTGTACATGTGTGTGTTCATGTGGAGGTCAGAGATCAATGTACAGTATTTTCTGTGATGTCTGCCTTTCTTGTGTATGTGTTTGCAAGTGTGTGGCATATATACATGTTTATGTGAGTGTGTGCACATGAGTGTGCAGGTACATATACACTTGTATGTGCATATGTGTGGAGGTAGAATGATATTTTATGTTGTTGATCTGGGGTCATTGGTAGGCATGTGCACTTGAGGGCATCACTCAGTATTTTGATGGTAGGGATAAAAATAGCACTTACTGAATATTTATACTTCTTCCTCTGTTATGGGACACAGGCTGTCTGTCGCCGTGTTCCCCGTCACTGTGCTCTCAATCACCATGCCATAGTGCTTTGAACTTTGGTTTCTCATTTTACCCTAACAGCTGGCAATTATAAGCTAGGTTGTTGGTTCCCTGCTGAATACAAGTTCATTAAAAATTAACATCAGATGTGCGCATTCCCTGACTGTGACAGAAAACAATACAAACAGGATTGCTCTGCCAACCATGAAACTGACCCAGCTTCCTCCTTCACAGCCTCTATGAGTGACTCAGCTTCTTTAGCAAGTGACAACACTGGGTTTTCCTCATTTCTCCAGACTCCTGGATAAAAATTAAGACACTGACTCATCAGATCGCCCCAACTTCCCGAGAGTACCCAAGCCAGAGCAGAGCCCTGCTTCCTTACTTCCTTCAGATTAGCCCGCACAAACCCACTTAGCTCTCTCCACCCAGTACTCTGAGAGCCTCCCATGGAATAGGCTACCGTCGGAGCAAGCGATGCTCCCAATTTCACACCACTACAGATGTGTTCCTGGACGTTGTTGAGCACTGGGTTTCATTACAGAAATACTTCAAAGATCCTGCTTGTGGTTAAATGTGAGAAATTCCCATTGTTGTGTGTGCTGGAAACACATTCCTTTTTGAACAAATCAGGGTTGAATAGAAAGTAGTAATATTATAACAAGTTCCTTTTCTCTCATTGGTGAGAGAAATGCTGAATCTGTGGACTTAAGGTTCCTCAGAGTTTGTTGTGTTCAGACTCATGGTAAAGGCAACCTGGCAATTCTCCTCTTGGCATGGCACCCTCTGTTGGTGAAGAGATAAAGGACTCCTCTCACCCTCTTGTCATCTTACCATTGCAGTGCAAGTAACTTCCAACAAGCCTGGAAGTAATCAGACTCCTCACCAGCTGTGCCCAAACACACACTCCTCAGGATCTCATGACAAAATGCCCTGAACCAATTTCATTCGTGATGGCCAGCTGTGCAGGGGAATGGAGAAGAATAAACCCTTTTCTACACATACCAGTAATGTCATTCCTTCCTCCACCAGGGGGGCCCATGGCTGTCAAAAGCAGCACATCTACTATGTCCAGCTTGTTTGTGTCTTTCTTGTCAAACCAATAACCATGGTCAATCCATTGTCTCAGTAGCTCGATGGGGGGCTGGGCCCCATACACCTCTTTGGCTGGCATGTTGAGGTCATCTGAAAAAAAGAAGCCATACCCACACATTGAGTCCACAGGATCCTCTGGTCTTACAGGGGTAACCAATGACGGTTCCCTCCATGAGAGAGATTATTTCCAGTTGCCCTATCCCTACTTCAGGATCAGTCAATTGATACCCTTGGGTTCAGACTGCTATCTTATTGAGATCCCTACCCCATTATGACTACAGGATACATGGATTAGCACTAACAAATAAGCCATCTAATATTTTCCCATTTTCCTCAGCCAAAATGCATTGATTGTCTAGTGTACCATAGACATTTTGTTAATTTCTAGGCATAAGACAGTGAGCCTGCCAAGACTTTATGTTTGTTGTGTTTCTGTCTCTTGAGATGGGGTCCCACCATATTGCCCAGGCTCATCTCAAACACTTTAGACATGCTCTACCGCCCACCTAACATCTGTATCTAATTTTTTAATTGTGTTGGGGATTGAACCCAGGACCTCACACATGCTAAATAAATCCTGGACTACTGAGTTACAATCCCACCCCCTAATAAGTCTGATCAACATGTAATACCTGAACCCCAGTGAGAGCAAAGCTTAGAGCTGGGGTTTTTCATCAACAAACCCAAAATGGCAAAAATGGATTCTAGGTTTCCTTTGAGAACAAGAATGACATTTTCTTCCAGTAGCACACTGTTCAGTCTCGGCACATAGGAAATACTGAATAAAATGATGGCTCTTTTCAATTTTCTTCAACAAATACTGATGGAATGCCCAGTTTGTGTCAGTGAACATCTTAGGTACTTTACACACATCATTTGACCTACTGCAAATATGCCATTACAGGAAGTAGTATCTCCTGTGTGTTAAAGGTGAGGAGCTGACCCTCAGGTCAGAGACGCATCATACTATGACTAGGCTTGAAAGGCAATATAAGGCCCAGATTGTTTTAGTTACAAGTCTTAAACTGTTTTGGGATACACCATAAAAACAAGGGAGACTGGGATAGAGGGGGAATAAAGGAAAGAAAGGAAGGGGAAACTAAAACAAAATAGGATTCCTGCCTCGAAGGAGTTGATAAACTAGTAAAGATATAAATGTAATCCATGTGATGTGTATTATTAACATATGAGTTTAAAATACAGGATACAAAATAACCTAAGACAGTGGGGCGCTATGAGTCAGTAGTCAGCCAGTAGAAAATAAAAAATTCTTGGCATCAAGAAATCCTATCTGGGTTTGGATCATGACTCCAGAATTTCCTAGATGTTTGATACTCAGTAGGGAATTTAACCTTCTGGAGCCTCAGTTAATGAACAGTAAAATTATGATGATTATAATTTCATGGGGTTATGATGTTCAAATGAAAAAAAAATAAGAAAGTACTCTGTACAAAGGTGAAACCTTGAGAAAATTCTACGTTCTAGTTCACAAACATTTATTTAGCAACTATTAGGTTCCTCCACTTAGTGATAACACACTTGTCTAATACAAAATGGAAAGGGGGATTATCACAAATTACATACTGTTTTTTGGAGGTGTCAGAGTACAAACACCGCAGTCTCCTAAAAATACTGTTTACTACAAAGGAGGGAAGGGGAAGGACAAAAATGGAAGCAAAGGAGGAACAAAAGGGGGAGGAAACAAGGGAGAGAGGGAAGAGGGAGCGAATGCTAAGTTGTATTAACTGGAAATATTTTAACTGCTGGAAAGAGTAAGAGGAACATTGGTTTGCTGCAGCTTGGGTACAGGAAGACCCCACCCAGTGCCTTACCTACAAACACCACCGCCTTCTTCCCCATGGGAGGCCCGAAAAGGCCTTTGCGTCGACGATCCAGCTTTGACATGATGATATCTTGGGTCTGATTGGCTGAAGTTCTGGCAGAGAAATTGATGAAGTTGGGCAGGTAGGTATTCTTGGGAAGTTGGAGAAGGAAGTTGTTGGAGATGGCTGATTTGCCAGTGCCTGTGGGACCCACAAACAGCATTGGGATCTCATGGTCCAGGTAAGTTTTTAAGAAGAAGGTCTGCCGGGCAGTCTCCGTGGTGGGGATGATGAGTTCTGAGACCTGTATCACAGAGACAAGAGAGCATCTTGGCCTTGGGCCCAGGGGACTGGGTATGGCATTCAAGGGATCTGGGTTTGAGGTCTAGCTCCATTTTTTACAATCTTTATGACTTTGCGTGACTATTTAACATCTCTAGAGTGCTCAGTTTCTTAATCTCTGATATGGGGGAAATAATGGCACCTACTATACAGTTCATCAGACATTACATGAGACTATACATGTAAAGGTGGCCTTTGCAGTGAGGAAGCAGAGGTCCAGAATATTCTGCAGTTTTCCCAAGTAACACAGCAAGTAAATGGAAAGGCAGAGATTTGAATCTCAGCTTGTACAGTTCCAAAGTTCTTAATACTAAACTGTCAAATTATAAAAACCAATTACAATAAGGGTTAGAGCCTCGCTACTGTCTCTGAGACTTACTCTCAACCAACCAGCCTGCCTTGTCTCTGGAAAATCCACCTCCCATATGCCACCTATCCTGCCTGGCTCAGAAATTTTAGGTGTTATAATTTAGACCTGGAATGTTTCTCAGAGACTCATGTGTTGAAGGCTTGTCCTCCAATGCAGAAATATTCAGAGGTGGGATTTTTATGAAGTGATTGGATCCCGACCCTTCTGACATCAGTAATTAACCTACTGATGGGTTCATAATTTGTTGGGCTATTGGAGGTTGGTAGACATGTAAGACATAGGATCCAGTTGAAAGGAGCAGAGTGGGTCTTTGGGAGCATGCTTTTGTGGGCTCTATCTTCTCCTTGTCCTGCCTTTCTCTGCTTCCTGGTTGCTATAAGGTGAGCAGGTTTTTTATGCCGTGCCTGCCTGCCATGATGTTATGCCTTAACACGGTTCCAGTAGTGACAGGGGGACCCTAACCGGTAACCTCTGAACCTCTGAGCCAAAATGAGTATTTTCTTTTAAGCTGGCTTTCTCATGCATTTGCCACAGTGACTGAAAGCTAACACAATGTGAATCTTGGACCCCTACCCCCTGTTCTTGCTCCTGACCCACTTCCCAACATTCAGATTCTGGCTTCTGAGACCCATGCTCACCCAATCTCTTGCCTTTTGTAATATGGGTATTGAAGATGTTCTTCCTGGGCTTCAGATCCTAGTTAGAGTTGGAGGGCTCGGTCATGGGCTCCTGGAATCCTTATTACTCTGGGTAGAATATCTTACCTTAGTTTGGCTTCTTTGAGCCTGAACCTGCCATTAGCCATTTGGTCACAACTGATCCTTTGACAGGGAAGGGGATGAAGGTATGGGGAGATATGTATTATATGCACAGGTCTCCTTGCATCATGTCTAGGTCGAAAAGAATTCAGGAACTTGAGGCTGCTGTATTGTACAGCTCTAGGGCGTACCATTCACACCATGGTTTGTAAATGGTGCTTTCAAAGTCAAACTAGACTTGACTTGGGAGCCACCAAATCTAAGTGACTTAGAGGACTTCATAAAGGAAAGCTTAACTTTTTTTGAGAAGTAATTTGGCCAAGTGAAAACAACCAGATAGGTAAGGTCATTGAAACAGGTCAAAGATTGATCAGGCCTAGGAAGAGAACAAACAGTCACTGATGTCTGTATTATCCCCTGGTCTAACCAGGAACCCTCTGAGGCACGTGGACAGTAACGCAGATGAAACTGAGGCTTCAAAAAACCCAACTATCTTGATGAACCCACTTGGCAAATGATGCTCAGTGCAGCTGAGACTGGGCACTTAAAGCAAGTTGGGCTTCTCTCAGTTTCATTTTCAGTGGGTAGGGCAAGTATTCAAGGGAAAAATTCCCAGCAGAATGGAAAATACTTTCTATATTGGGCTGTTGACTGAATGAATTTGGTTAAGATTTCAAATCTTTGAAATTCAGGTGACTAAGTAGTCTACCACCCCACTCAGGATCTGAAAGATCTATTGCCTCACAAAGATAAATAATGTCCACTAGATGACACTAATGGAGGACTAAGAGGATACACTGTGCAAATTCTCCTTAGAATTGAAAGAAAAATTTCTCTGAGGATTTAAAGATCCTTTTTTTTTTTTTTTTTTTTTTGTGGCTTAGATGACTGTGAGGTGGATGGACTCCCTGGTGTTACTAATAACAAGAACAACCAGAGTAACAACAAACACCAATCTAAGCTTAGTATGCACCGCACGATCACATATACCATCTTCAATCTTGCTGATCATCTTTTATACTTTTTCTTCCATCTTAGTGTTCGATAAACTGAGGCAGAGAGCATAAAAGCTAAAGAAGGAACCTGGGTCTCCATGATTTTAAAGTCAGTGCTTTTGAAGGTTTGATCTTTGTAAAGAGCTTTCTTGAAAATGCACACATGGAACTGTTAATTCCTCCACCTTGGAAGAGTACTTGGGAAATTCCAGAAACCACAGTTCTACCACAAATGTATTTCTTTTACCTTTGCACAAGCAGGGATCATCTCCTCCTCTTTGGTGATATATTCTGTCCATGGATTCCAATGTCCACCACCTTGTTTGAGGAAATAAAAATCATAGATGCTTCCTGGAACCAAAGAAACAGAAGTCATTAAAATACCAAGGGTTTGTATTTCATATGTGAGATGTTTGGCTGCCTCAGCTACAGGCATCAAAAATGTACAGCTACCAGTCCAGGTATAATTGTGATACTTAACTGTTGCTGGTAACTATCTAAACTAGAGCAATACTTCAAAAAGATTAATGGCTGGGGCTCTAGAGATGGCTCAGCAGTTAAGGGTACTGACTGATCTTGCAGAGGACCCAGGTTCGAGTCCCAGCACCCACACAGTGGCTAACAATCATCCATAACTCAGTTCCGGGGGAATCCGATGCTTTCTTCTGACCTCTGTGGGCATTGCATGACACGGGAGCACTTACACACATGCAGGCAATAGACTCATATACATAAAATTAAATAAAATATTAAAGATTAATGGCAATATTATTTGTATAAAAATGATAAGATTATGCAACTTATTACATTATTCTTTATATATTTTAAGGACAGGGTCTTGCTCTACAGTCTAAACTAGCCTTAAACTTGGATTCACTCTGTAGCTAAGCCTAGCTTCAAACTTTGTACTTATTTGTTTATTTATTTATTTGGGAGTGGGGCACGTGCTACCATATGGGTCCTGGAGAATGAACTCAGGTCATCAGACTTAACAGCAAGCATATTTTTGCATTGACCTAAGTCAGGTCATCTTGCTGGTCCCCTAGATTTAATACTGGGAACCTCTTATAGCAACCTCCCCACCTCCCCAGTGCTGGGATTATACACTCAGCTATTTTTTTTTTGGTCTCCCTTTTGACAGGGTCTCCCTCCAGCCCCAGCTGACCTGGAACTCATTATATAGACTAGGCTGGCCTCGATCTCACAGAAATCTGTCTGCTTCCCAAGTGCTGGGATCAAAGGCATGTCCTACCACACCCACCTTTAAATTATTCCTTTTTTTGTGTGTATGTAGGGGTAGTAGTGTGGTGGGTGATGTATATACTTGTTAGAATGGGTTTATGCATGTGCTCATGCATACACGTGCTCTTGGGTGAGTGAGGAGGTCAGAGGTTGCTATTAGGTGTCATCCCTGATGATTCTCCATCTTTTTTTATTGAGACAGGGTCTCTCACTGAACCTAAAGCTCACTGATTCCGCTAGATTGGAGGGCTAATGAGGTTTAGCGTCCTACCTGTCTCCACCCCCATTCGGCACTAGGATTACAGGCACAGACTGCCATAGTGCCTGGCTTTTTGTGTGGGTTCTGAGGATAGGAACTTAGGTCCTCATGCTTGGGTAGTAAGTACTTTATTGACTGAACCATTTCCCAGCCCCTCAGCTAAATTACTCTTTTTAAAAAATATTTTATTATTTTTATTTTAGGTGTATGAGTGTTTTGCCTGCATGTGTATAAGTGTACCTGTCTCGTGCAATGCCCACAGAGGTCAGAAGAGTGTGTTGGATTCCTTGGAACTGGAATTACACACAGTTGTTAGCTGCCATGTTGTTGCTGGGAATCAAACCTGGTCCTCTGCAAGAGCAGCCAGTGTTCTTAACTGCTGAGCCATCTCTCCAGCCCTGCTAAATTATTCTTAATAATAAAAGCAGAAAGTGTTTAAAAAGAACAAAACAAGGGGGTAATAAATTACTATATATCCCATATCTAGAAACAAACGTTTGATAATTCTTCCAGGCCTCTTACCAGGTACATGCACATCAACAAGAAAGTATTTTATGGCCAGGCTTGGTGGCACATGCCTTTAAACCCAGCACTTGGGAGGCAGAGGCAGGCAGATCTTTGTGAGTTCAAGGCCAACCTGGTCAACATAATGAATAAAAAGACCTGTCTCTCAGCTGGGGCTACAGGGATGACACCCTGTCTCAAAAAGACCAAAAAAAAAATTTTTTTTTATAAGATGAGATCATATGACATACAGAATTTTTAAACAAAGACATTAAATTTAGCTGTGTGGCAAGGAAGCTTGTAATCCCAGTGCTCAGAAGGCTGAGACAGTAGGGCTGCAAGTTTGAAGCTAGCCTTGGAAACATAGTAAGACCTTGTCTTAAAAAATGATGCTAAATTTTATTTTTTTATTGTATAGAGGAAGATTAAAATGAAACAGAGAGGCCTCTTGAACTCAAGATACATCATTATTCATTAAGGATGCTGGTTCCTAAAAGGTGTGCGTGTGTGTGTGTGTGTGTGTGTGTGTGTGTGTGTGTGTGTGTGTGTGGTGTATACATATGTATGTATACGTGTGAGGTGCATGCTCCTGCATGTGGGTGCATGTGTAAGCATACACCTCATACACCTGTGTGCACATGCATATGGAGGTCAGAAGGCCCTGGGTATGGTTTCTTAGGCATCTTCCGACAGGATCTTTCATTGTTTGAGAACTTCACCAAGCGTTCTAGGCTAGCTGGTCAGTGGGCTCCAGGAATCTGCCTGTGTCCACCTCTCATCTCAACAACTCTGGGATTACAAGTGTCCACTATCACGCCCGGCTTTTTACATGGGTTCCCAGTATCCAAACTCAGGTCCTCACATTTGAGAGGCAAGCACTTTGCCAACTGAGCCATTTCCCCAGCCACAATAGGTGCTTATTGCTAAAAAGATAATACTATCAAACCTTTAAGGAGTTAAAGTGATTATGTGTTATTATTTCATTATTGTATTTTCATTATTGTGGTGAAGTAGAATTTACGTTGCAAAACTAAAGAGAATATAATAAAGCATCATGTATCATTATCTACCTTCAGTGATTATCAACATTAGCAACTCTTGTATCATCCACTTTCTATCACCAGCTATGGTTTCTTTCCCTCCCCCGTCCCT